CCCACAAAACATTCTTTCTATTCTGCTTTATTTTCCTTGTGGCACTTGCCATTATCTGAAATTAGCTTGATGGTGATTTTAAAAGAAAAGATTCAAAACATTCTGAGCAGTAACAATCTCAAAAGAGCCTTTCAATGTGACTACTTTGACACAGAATAGCCCTTGTTAGGTTGGTTAGTCAAATAACAGCATTATTACTCTGTAATCCCAACTGATCCCATTGGTTATCTAAATTCCATACCTCTCAGAGGTCTTGACTCTGACTACCTACCTTGACCCTCTAAGCCTTCCCTAACTGTTCCATATTCTGGGCACTATACAAGGTAGCATCTGATTATACATTATCTTACAGATGGTTCTCTTTTTTACAAACTACTTAATGGGTTTAAAATTCTTTTGTCTCATTCTTAGTGAGGTGGTAGGTGTTCCAAAATATCAGGTGAAATGTTCCTAGCTAGCTAGCTAGCTAGAGATACAGAGATACGGAGAAAAGTACAGAAAAATACATACCAGGTAATTTACAAGCATTATGGGGTAGAGAGAGAATAATGAGAGCAAAGAAGTTTCAATAAAAATAAATTTTTTGGGAAGTGTATCTTTCACGTCTGTAAAATTATGATCCCATTTAAATAAATAAATTAGAGCTCTACCTATTCACTTACAAGTACAAAAAGCAAACTGCAAATTCTCTCCCTATATAAAAACAAAACCTTTTAATATATGTTTATACACACAAATAAAGGGAAAGGTGAAAAAGGACATAAATCAACCTAAGCTTAACATGGGTTATCTGACAGTGACTGGAGACATTTAAAGATCTGTAGTGCACTGGATCTAAGCTACTACTGGTGACTTTATTTCCCATAGTCTCTCTCCTTTACACCTGTTCTCTTACACACTGAGGGGCTTCATTTGTCCAGAAACTTATCTCCCAACGTCATTACTAGTTCTTGCCTGAACTCTTCTCTGATCCATACCAACCATTCTCTAGGATGGCTGATAGTATGGGCACTGATCAGCCACTGAGCTGGAGAAATGTCTCTGCAATATCTCTTAGGCTTGAAGTTTTCCTGATAGGGGGTTGTAGTATGTGGTCAATTTCCTAAAAGGCACAGCCCCAGAATCTGGGCAGGGAATGCAGGCAAAAGGAGAAGTAAGAGGCAGTCAGGTGGAGAGCAGGTCAAGCTGCTGCTGACAGTACGCTACTGCCAAATAAAACAACTTCAAATAGTATTCCTTCCCATCACCTGTGTCTATGGAAGGCAAAAATAAATAAATAAATATGAGACAGATTCCTGCCAAAATCTTAGTTTATAAATAGTGATTGCAATACAAGTAAATACAGCATGTTCTTTTAGTAAAGGGTCTAGCATATTGTAGAATCTTAATAGATATTAAAGAACAGCAACACTGCTTTGAAAAAAAAAAATATATGTCCAAAGAATTTGCTATGTGTTTTTATACAAACAGAAGTCATTAGATATTCAGGGGCACCTAGGTGGCTCAGTTGTTAAGCATCTGTCTTTGGCTCCCAGGGTCCTGGGATCGAGCCCCACATCGGGCTCCCTGCTCAGCAGGAAGCCTGCTTCTCCCTCTCCCACTCCCCCTGCTTGCATTTCCTCTCTCGCTGTCTCTCTCTGTCAAATAAATAAATAAAATCTTTAAAAAAAAAAAAAGATATTCATGAGACTATATAACATTGGAATATTTTAAAAGGCAGAAATTAGACTTGAGAGCCATGAAAATAGCTTTTAAAAATCTACCTGTGTTAATACAGATTGTGTATTTATACATCATTAAGGATATACCAAAAATAGGGGTGCCTGGGTGGCTGTCATTAAGCGTCTGCCTTCGGCTCAGGTCATGATCCCAGGTCCTGGGATCGAGCCCCGTGTCGGGCTCCCTGCTCGGTGGGGAGCCTGCTTCTCCCTCTCCCACTCCCCCTGCTTGTGTTCCCTCTCTCGCTGGGTCTCTCTCTGTCAAATAAATAAATAAAATCTAAAAAAAAAAAAGGATATACCAAAAATTACCTCAGTCTATTTCTCCCCTACCCCTTCTCTATCTCTTATTTCATTGTGGTTTCATATAAATAGAAGGGTTTTTTTATGTTGCTATTTTTAAATGTCTTCCCAGAAATAAACTGACAACCTTATTTTGTTACCTTTCCAGAATACATTCATTCATTCATTCAACAAATCATTATTGAAGATCTGCAGTACAACAGGTATTGTTCTTTGCTCTGTGAATAGAGCAGGGAACAAAACAGACAATAATCCTTTCCCTGTGGAGCCAATATCCTACTGGAGGTAAATAGCCAATAAATCAGTATGTAAAATATATAGTAGAGTATGTCAGATACTGATCAGCATGATGGAAGAAAATAAGAAGGATAGAGAATGCCACTGGTGGGGAGAAGGCTGCAATTTTAAATGTAGGGTGAAGTCAGGGAGACCTTGCTGAGAAGAGAAAATGTGAGCAAACAACTAAAAGATGTGAGGAGGGAAAGCCATATGAACATGTAGAAGCATGTTGCAGGCTGAGAGGACTTCTGCCTACATCGAACCCGAGTCAGGGTGCACGCTGTTACCTCTCCAATGTCACCTCCCACCATTTTGCACCTCCCTGACCTACTCCAACCACACACTAGCTTTCTTGCCACTGCTCAGCTATATGCTGGTGAATGGGGGCTGAGGGACCAAGGAGGCAATGCAGACCTGTAGCAGCTCCTCTGAAAAGCTCTTCTCTCAAATTGACAGGCCATCATCACATGACTGAAAGGGACGTTGGGCAAACAAACACTCCTCTTGAGCAGCACTTTCCAACAGAACTCACTGCAATGATGGGAATGTTCTTTATCTGTGCTGTTCGGTAAGGAGCACAGAACTAGACACATGTGGCTATTTGGTACTTGAAAAGTGCCATGTGACTAAGGAACTGAAATTTTCATCATAAATTTTAACAGTCAAATGTGGCTAGTGGTTACCATACTGGCCAACATAATTCTAGAGTAGAGGTAGGTCTTAAGAACACAGGAATTTATCACTAATAGACACCTTACTTCTAAAAAAGAAATATTACATTTAATTTGCTAAATTCTCTAATGAGAATTCTATGCTTAAGTAGGGCACTTATGATAGTTTTACTTAATTGTCACAAAACACACACATGTGTTAATTACTACTTACCATGTAATTCTCTCGCTACTGCATGGAAAAACTACTGCTATTAGGCTTTTTTATCTCAGCTTTAGTGTATCCCTGCAGATAATTTATTATTGCTGAAGCAGTAATTAAGAAATTTTGTAAAATTCTGTTCTTAAATCAAGCTGTATTTCCTGCAAGCTTTTTCTTCTCAATCTGATTTGTCTTTAGCTGACTATATTTACATGCAAATGTAAAAATATGAATAAATATAACAAACAGGATGTGGTATAATAAGCTATAACTTCATGTACTATTAAATTCTAATAAAACAGAACCAAAGACTATAATTAGGCAAAAGAGCTTAAAAGATTTTTTGGGGGGAGGGGTAAATTGACATTTAAACAGCTTTATTTTTTACAAAAATGGAAATAGAAGATAGTCATTATTTTAGGAGATATGCAAAGCCAATCTTTAAAAACTATACTCAACTTTATAAGAATATGTGGGTTCTAAGAACGTGTTTCGTATATGCACTATACAAAACACGTCACTATCAAAGCTACACAAGGAAACTTCATGACTCAGAGTTTTTATGCTTAATCCAACAGCACCCAGAGACGATGAAAGCCAGTTACTAAAAAATTTATTGCTTGGTTAAAACTCAGTTTACAATTCAAAGGATTTTTAAAATCTCTGTGCTGTTATGAAGCTTTATGGGGTTTACAATGGAAATGAAAACAGAAATAAAAAGATCTGACAAACAGAAAATGCCAAAGATATTTCCAGCATTATCAACATGGATTCTTTTTTCCCTATCATTATTTTTTACCTTATTCCAAGACAAATGATTTTAACCCATCTGCCTAAAAAGACAACTATGTCTCCTAGAGTCCCTTTCAAAATGTAAATGTCTGATGGCCAATTTTATTTGAAAGAATATTATTTCTATAATTTTTAAAAAGAACTAGAATATAAACTCCAAATGGCAGGACTTTTTTTATAATCTGCAGTATTCCCAGTGCCTACAATAGTGCCTGCCATCTAGTAGAGGTACTTAATAAATTCTAACAAATTACTAAATTAATCATTTATCAGAATCTTTTATTAAAATAAAGATAACCAAATAGTATTATAACAGTGTAGATTTTCATTTTAACATTGGTAATATAGAATCATTCCACTTATCAAAAAGTCTTGTTATACCATCTCTACATAGAACAAAACCCTTTCTAAAGCTTATTGGTAATTCTCAGAATTAGCCAAAGACTTTCATATTCATTATTTTGCATAATTATTTACATAGAATTCTGTGATTCCTTCCAATTCAAAAATTTATTTATTCTAATAATGACCTAAAACTGCAAAATAAAATCTGAAACCTACTCAAATGGAACATCATGGAATGGTAAAACAAAATATTATTTAAATTACTACAAAAATAACTGGAAAACAACTAATGGACCATCCTAGACATTTCATGGTTTTCTTAAATCTTTTAAAGGATATTTTCTAGTACTCTGCTTAGTCTTGTTTTACACTACTACCAAATCCTTTGCTTTCAAAATCAAGTACACTGAGACACCAAATAATAAAACTGCCCTATGCTTTTTAAATTTTATACCAAAAGATCTACTTTATTTAAAAAAAAAAAAAATCTAATACGCATTGGAAAATACTGAGCTGGAATGTTGCTGAAATGCTGTTTACTGCAAATGTCCCAATGTTTTATCAACTAACACTGAAGTTTAAGTTAGGGCTAAACTCAGGAAACTGACCTTCATAATATTTTAACATGATGTTTGTCTTTATAAGGTGGTTTTCTTCTAAGAAAAGCGGACTTAAATGTCTTAGACTTACAGTCAAATTTCGGTCCCAGATCTGTATGCTTCCATTCTGGCAGGCAGCTGCTATGAGGTTTCCATCTCTACTATATGTGCACGTGGTGGGAATTACTTTTTTGCCCTGCATTGTCCGTGGTTTAAACACACTTCTTTGCTTCCTTGGATTTTCAACTTCCCACGTCCTCACAGTCCTAAAAACAATAAAGAAATTTTCATTTACAAAAAAGAGAGGAGTTTAAAACTCAGAAGAGCTCATAAAAACTGCTTTACCTCTTAAGCATATAAATCTAAAAATTATTTTAAAATAAAATGTGTCCTGTAAAACATTCTCCATTTATAAATGAAGTTACTCACTGCAATAAAGTGAACCATATGAATCATGTTGTCTTCAAATCAAACAGCAAGTAGCAAATTCTACTTCAAATCTATCAGTTTTAAGTTCTGACCCTCTACAACAGTGGCCTCTAAACAATTCTGACTATACACTCTGATCAGTAAAACTGTTGAATATAAACCTCCTATACACACACATTAATTTCTAAATTACTTACATGTGTTAATGTACTGTTATATAATACACACCAGAAAACACACTGAAAAAAATAAGTCACTAGAGAATGATGTCCCACTCTACAGCCAAGGCAAAGATCTCATGCCTCTAGGGGAGAAGCAGAAACAAAATTGTCTGCTCCTGAGTTTTCAACAAGTAACAAGAAACAGCAGTCTAGGGCTGGGGGAGACACAGAGAACCCTCCTGCTCACAGTCCCAGGCAAAGGAGCACTGCCACTAAGGAAAGCTAAAACAAGATCCTTAGGACCCGGGGCGGGGGGTGGGGTGGGGGACCAGAAAACCAAAGATGAGTTCAACAAATTAAATTCTTGGCAGAAACTAACCAAGCCAAAGCACTATGGAACGACATCTCTAAAGTTCTAAAAGAAAAAAAAAAGTCAATCTAATATTCTATAGGCAGCAAAAATATATTTCAAAAATATGGTAAAGATTTTTTCAGATGAATGAAAGCTGAGATAATTCATTTCCTTCAGACATGTACTAAAAGCAATGTTAAAGGAAGTTCTTCAAGAAGGACAAATATGATACAAATGGAAATCTGAATCTACACAAAGAAATGAAGAGTGCCACAAATGGTAAAAATGAAGATAAATTTAAAAGACATTTTAAAAAATGTTTAAATCTCTTTAAAAGATAAATGGCTGAAGTAAAACAATGTATTGTTAAGATTTACAGCATATGTTCAAGTAAAATGTATGTCAACAATAGCACAAAGGTTGGGAGGAAGACATGGAAGTATAGTTTTATACCATACTTGAAATGATATAGTATTATTTGAAGAGAGATTTTGATACATTAAAGATATATATTACAAACCCTAGAGCAATTGCTAACATATTTTTATAATAAATATGTAATAACAGAGATAAAATGGAAATGAAATAAAAACAGGAAGGGATAATAAAGAAGAACTAAGGGATAAACATAAAACAAACAGCAACATGGTGGGTTTAAATCCAATCTCATAAAAAATTACATTAATTAGAAATGACCTAAAAACTTTTAATTAAAAGGCAAAGATTGTCGGGGCGCCTGGGTGGCTCAGTCATTAAGCGTCTGCCTTCGGCTCAGGTCATGATCCCAGGGTCCTGGGATCGAGCCCCGCATCAGGCTCCCCGCTCTGCGGGAGGCCTGCTTCTCCCTCTCCCACTTCCTCTGCTTGTGTTCCCTCTCTGGCTGTGTCTCTCTCTGTCAAATAAATAAATAAAATCTTAAAAAAAAAAAAAAAGGCAAAGATTGTCTGATGGGATTAGGTAAAAGCAAGACCCAGCAGATTCTGTCTTTTAAAAAGACACAAAAAATGGGGGCATCTGGGTGGCTCAGTCAGTTAAGCATCCAACTCTCGGTTTCCACTCAGGTCATGATATCAGGGTCCTGGGATCAAGCCCATGACGGGCTCCATGCTCAGTGCAGAGTTTGCTTGGCCCTCTCCCTCCTCCTCTACTCCTCTCCCCAGCTCACATACATGCATGCTTTCTCTCTCTCTCTCTCTCAAATAAATAAGTTTACCATACATTACATCATTAGTTTTTGATGTAGTGTTCCATGATTCATTGTTTGGGTATAATGTATGGTGATTAACATAACATAGTAAAAGAAAAAACAACAACAAAACAAAACAAAACAAAAAAAATAAATAAATTTAGAAAATAAAAATAAAATAAATAAAATCTTTTTTAAAAAATATACACAAACGTGGGGCGCCTGGGTGGCTCAGTCGTTAAGCGTCTGCCTTCGGCTCAGGTCATGATCCCAGGGTCCTGGGATCGAGCCCCGCATCGGGGTCCCTGCTTGGCGGGAAGCCTGCTTCTCCCTCTCCCACTCCCCCTGCTTGTGTTCCCTCTCTCGCTATATCTCTCTGTGTCAAATAAATAAATAAAATCTTTAATAAAAAAAAAATACACAAACGTTTAAATATAAAGACTTAGATAGATTAGCAGTAAAAAGATGGGGGGGGAAATGTGCTAGGTGACCATAATCAAAAGAAAGCTGGAGTAACCAACCGTATTAATGTCCAACAAAGTGGACTTCAGAACAAGGAATAAAACTAGAGACAAAGAGCAAACTTTCATAATGCTAAAGAGTCAATTGATCAAGAAGACATAACAATCCTAAATGTATATGCTAGTAATAACAGAGCTTCAAAATATGAAAGCAAACTTAAGAGAAATAAAATTAAATATAGCAAATCTATATTTATATTTGTATACTTCAACATTCCTCACTCAGTGACTGATAGAACAAGTAGACCCATCCCTACCCCCCCAAAAAATCAGTAAGGATACAGAAGTCCTCAAAAACAATACCAAACAAGTTGAGCTAATTGACATTTATATAACACTTCACCCAACCACAACTGAGTGTGAATTCTTTTCAGGTGCACACTGAACATACTCTGGGTCATAAAGCAAATATAAACAAATAAAAATGACCAATTTAGTGAGGTCACAGGATACAAAGTCAATAATGAATTTTATTTCCATAGACTAGCAACAATTAAATGTTGAAATTATGAAAATAATACCAGGCGCCTGGGTGGCTCAGTTGGTTAAGCGACTGCCTTCGGCTCAGGTCATGATCCTGGAGTCCCAGGATCGAGTCCCGCATCGGGCTCCCTGCTCGGCAGGGAGTCTGCTTCTCCCTCTGACCCTCCCCCCTCTCATGTGCTCTCTCTCATTCTCTCTCTCTCAAATAAATAAATAAAATCTTTAAAAAAAAAAGAAAATAATACCATTAATAATGATATGAATAAACATGGAATCTCAAAAGATGTATAGTATCTGTGCAATGAAAACCATAAAATATTTCTGAGAGAAATGAAAAAAGATCTACATGTATGAGAAGATACACTGTATTATGCTGAGCAAAATAAGTCAATGAGAGAAAGACATGTATCAAATGACCTCACTGATATGAGGAATTCTTAATCTCAGGAAACTGAGGGTTGTTGGAGTGGTAGTGGGTGGGATGGGGTGGCTGGGTGATAGACATTGGGGAGGGTATGCGCTATGGTGAGCACTGTGAATTGTGTAAGACTGTTGAATCACAGACCTGTACCTCTGAAACAAATAATACATTATATGTTAAAAAAAAAAAAAAAAAAGAAGAAGATAGCAGGAAGGGAAAAATGAAGGGGGGGAATTGGAGGGGGAGACAAACCATGAGAGATTATGGACTCTGAGAAACAAACTGAGGGTTCTAGAGGGGAGGGTTGTGGGGGGATGGGTTAGCCTGGTGATGGGTATTAAAGAGGGCACGTACTGCATGGAGCACTGGGTGTTATACGCAAACAATGAATCATGGAACACTACATCAAAAACTAATGATGTATGGTGATTAACATAACATAATAAAAATAATAATAAATAAATAAATAAGATACAGTGTATTCATGGGTTGGAAAAGTCAGTACTATTAAGATTTCAATTCTCTCCTAATTAATCTTTTGATTCAACACAATTTCAATAAAAGATCCAGCAGAGTTTTTTTGAGATAGAAATTGGGTAAGGTAATTCTAAAACTTATATGTAAATGCAAACAACTTGGACTGCCTATACAATTATTTATTTATTTATTTATTTATTTTAAAGATTTCATTTATTATTTGAGACAGAGAGAATGAGAGACAGAGAGCATGAGAGGGAGGAGGGTCAGAGGGAGAAGCAGACTCCCTGCCGAGCAGGGAGCCCGATGCGGGACTCGATCCAGGGACTCCAGGATCATGACCTGAGCTGAAGGCAGTCACTTAACCAACTGAGCCACCCAGGCGCCCTGCCTATACAATTTTGAAAAAGAACAAAACTAGGGAATTCACTCTACCGAAGTTCCCATATTAGCTTCTAAATCCCACATTATAACACCAATCACATAAGTTGTAATTACACATATTAATATCTACTCCTTCTACAAAAAGAGCTACTTGAGAGCAAGGGCTCTCTCTCTCTCTTATCTTTGTGGGCCTTATCTTTGTATGCACCATCTCTTAAACATAACAGGAACACAACACCTACTTGGTCTTCAACAAATGTTTGTCAAAAAATAAAAAAAAATTCACTGCCTATCTAAGCATTTTAGAAATCAACTTAATGAGGTATAACTAACATACAATAAATACAATTGATTTTTAAATGTATAGACTTCAGATAGCCAGCATTTTCTGTCAAGTATTTATGATTTATTCCAAATGATTTGGGGATTTTTTTAAATAACTTCTGCCTATTTCCCCCTAAACTCTGAGAACTTACTCAACTGCTTAACATTACCAAACCCTAGTTTTCAGAGCTGTCAAACCCATGCCTGACATAAGATTGCACCGACTGCATTTTAGGAACTACTGGCTAGCAAAATGTAAGTTCAAGTAAGAGTTTAGAAACAGTACACACAGAAACAACAGAAAGGCACCTTGGAATTCCAGAATTTAAAGCAACCCATTGGGGAGCCAGGAGACTCAGAGTTATAAGATACTCTGACAGATAGATGCCATTAACAGTGTGACAGATACTGGTAGCAGCATAATCCAAGATCCATTCTCCTTTCTTCTCAGTTAAAGTCTGTATTTCCTAGCCTCTCTTGTAGCTAGATGTGATGAAATGTGGAAATAAAGCTTTGACCAATGCAGTA